GATTGTCAAAGCAAGTTGTAAAAATAATAAACAAGACATTATTTGGAATAATAATTGTGATGTAATTCATATTTTTTTTTCCTTAAAAAAACCTCATATTTCATCTTGATTAAAACGAATGTCATTTAGTTACTACTAACAATAATTAAAGGTGAAAAATAAAGAATTGACACTAGGATTTCCATTGGGTTCAGGAATGGTAGTTCCAATGGATCGCAATGGAAATTCCATTCATCCCATTGGAATTAATTATTATCAGTGGTAATTAAATGGCATTTTTTTAATGGAAATAGAATGGTAATTTTTCCTACGGATATATAACATTTTAGTTCGGAGCTTTTTACTCCTGCTGTATGCTACATGTTACAAATGAAATATGTTGCATATATAGTAAATGTTATGTAACATTTTAGGTCAGTGACTTATGTGAAATAGTAAAACTCAGCATTCAATATCGGAAAATGTCGCAGAGAGGAGATGTAAATCTTTTGCTGCTGCGATAACTAACTGAAAATGATACGAAACGTCTGCGTAAATCATTGTTATAAATTTCTTTGATCTTTGTTGACTCGGAATGGATAGCAGAAGTTTTGCTAAATGTAACAGAATCTGCTACATACAGCAATGTCATACATATCACTTTTAAAACAGAAATTTTCTATTTGTAGCAAATGTTATATAACTTTTGCTAAATGTAACATACCGTAGGGTTTTCTATATAGTGTAAACGGAGCTTTACATGCACTTTAATTTGACTCCAACTAAATCTTTATTTGTTTGTTTACATCGTTAAAATTTTCTTTAATTATCATCTACATCGGTATGAAATTGGTATTTAACGCTATATTAGGGTGTAAATAGTAATTTTCCACGCGACTGATAGCGATTTCCTATTCTTGTTAAAAATCACGTACCTACCAAAACATCGTTGAGTATATTGACAATATTTTTTTAAGATTACACACGCGTGATTCCATATAAAATTAAACTTCATGTGGCTTGTTGGAATTTTCTCTTTCGACTCTGTTTGCACACTTACCATTAGCAGATGAGACGGTCTTTACTACCATTAAGCCGAACGTGAGATTTGACATGACTTATCGTTCTTAACTATTTTATGCGAAAGAGCTTTCACAAACACAGTAGTGGCATTGTCACTTCCAATCAACTCATTTAGCTACAAATACATACATATATGTATATTCTTGTTAAAGCGCAATTTTTTCAAGATTAGAAAGTACGACATAGGTATATAAATATTAAAAAGTGTTCAGATTTTTGAAAGGACTAACGACGTTTTGATTAAGGACCACGTAACAAGGTTAATCTACTCTTCCAATACAATTTTCCAATGACAATATTATTTGTTATTGAGAATGCTTAAGCCTTTTAAACTTAAATGTCTTACAATTAGTGTTAGACTAAAACCAAAAGAAGTTCGAACTTAAATATGTAAGGAAGCAATGGTGATAAGAACTATTATAATTCATCTTAGAAAACCCGTTTTAGTAACAAATATTGTGTTTAAATTTACGAAGCAATGTGACATTTGTTCCTTCGTCTAATATTGAAAAAAAAAAAATAATTCATGAATTCTAAGGATACAGGTACAAGTACAGTGGATTTCGGGTATAACGACGACGAAAGGACCACTGTAATTTTGTCGTTATATCCTGAAGTCGTTACAGGCAAAGGTATAGAGATACAGACACGTATATATAGTTTAGTTTTCACCATTTTTCAATTTTCAAACGATTTCCGCCTTTTTTTCACGGTAAATATGCATCTAGGAGTCATACTTATTCAAAAGATTGCTAAACAGTTGCTACTCAGAATATCACTTTGTAACTGAACTATTTTAACGTATAACATCTATAAACAAACGATAAAGGTCACCGTTCTTGCTGACCATTTGTGTGGATGAAAACAAAAGATACGAAAGCTCTTTGCGTTTTTGGTGGCCGACTCCGGTCGCTATATCTGCATGGGATTACTAGGGATTTGTTACAAATCATTCATTGGCAACAGTTGCTATAACTACAAGAATTTTGTACTAAACTATCCTTTAAATTCAAGGGACTTAACGTCGCTATAGCAAAATGGTCGCTACAACCAAGGTCGTAATAAATGAAATCTACTGTACTTAGATAGTAAAAACTCCTATCCGAAACAATCTGATTGAATTTAATGACTCAATCTTGATACAATCGAGCTGATATTTTTGTTGAATTGTACGATGGTACGAGTACATTTTTTTCCATAATAATTTTGAATTATCAATGTTTACTAATAAAAATTTAATTTTTAAATCAATCAAAAAATACCACCAACGAATTAGGTTATTATACCAGAAGAACCTACCTAATGTAACGTATCATCAGTGGCCAGGAACAATTTCCTTCGGGCAATAAACTATCATCGTCGGTAATTTTACGTTATCTAAAGACCACACTGTCAGGATGACAGATCGCAAGCGCAGGAAACGACAATAAAAAAACCTTATATAGAATTAAACTAAATTGCATGCAACGTGTTTACATAGATGCTGTATCTGTAAGAGAAGGAGATGAACGATCGAAGACCCAGGATTAGAAATTTGTCGCGCTTGAGGATGACAAATTGACTGGGGTGGTCCTTCTTCTTTCATCTGTCTAACGGTACAACGCCGAAGGACATGGAAGCATGCGAAATTCTCTTAGGTATACTTTTATATGTACTTACAAACATCTATGTATCTACATAGGTATTTCTTCATGGTGATTCTGATAGAAGATTCTATGGTCGAATGGATGGCAACTGATAGGTACGTCGGAAACGATTAGGAATTTATGTGAATTACAAGGTTATTACTCGAAATGATTGATGGTCATAACAGTCTAGTGGTTATTGTTTACAAATAGCAACAATAATAAATAACCATTAAACCTTTGGTTTTGTAAAGCACAAACCATTTTATAATTATGAAATGAGAAGGCAGAGGTTGATGTTATTTTTAGTCCATAGACAATTTTTAACATAATAATAGTTGGGATACTCGGCTTCGCTTAAGGAGTTGATTTGAGATTGTAGGGTAGTTGGAATAAAAGGATAAACATTAAAATATAAGAGGTACATAGGTAGCCCCACCCATACAAAAAGTCTTCGAATTGTCCACAATGTTCTAGAACATTCCACAACATTCGAGTGTATTCTAGAACGTTTTACAATGATCTGGAGTATTCCAGACTATTGCCAAATATTCCACAACATTTCAGAATGTTCCGGTATGTCCCCGAAAGTTGGAACCCACGACGGATCTTGCTTTACATACCTCTACCAATAGGTAGCTCAACTCATAAAAAAAAGGCTTCGAATGGTCTACAATGTTCCAGAATATTCGAGAATGATCTGGAATGTTCCGGAACAACATCATAGAATGTTATAGAATGCCCTCGAATACTCTTGAATGTTCTGGACGGTTCTACAAATTTCTAGAGGGCGAAACTTCCAGCCCTTATATCTTTAAAAGCACGCCCTTCAGGTAAAAACGGGAACCTTCTTCATGGACGGGAGATACAGGATTACCACACCATATAACTACCTTGAAGGTACCGGGACTCATTTCTGAGTTTTATCGGCACCCACATTGTACACTTTCTTTTATAATATATATTGATTACTATTACTTATTAATTATAACCTATTTTCATGAAGTCAGTATTTTTTGTATTAAAACCTAAAATAAATTACGATTCAACTGAAAATCAAGCATTTATCGATTATGGTGTTGCTTCAAAAAATATATTTAAACTATTGGTATTTTACATCAATAAGCCGGTTATTGTTTAAATAATGTTGTGTATTGCCAAGTCTAAATAACCGTTACAGTAACCGGAATTATTTTTGTTCAACCTTCGGCCCGTTTCAGAAGCCCGCGGTTTGTTCTACAAGTGGGGCACTTCTTTAGAGTTTCCGGTTTCCACTCTCTTTTGCCTACATTAGATGAATGTTGAAAAAAGAATTTAAAGATAGGAAGAGAGCACTTGTATTTTTATGCATAATGGAACAAAGAAATGACATCCGGTATATAATTTCGTGTGCAGGGAGCGTGCATTTTTTGGCAGGTGACATCTGAAGGACATTTACGAAATTTTAAAGTGAAACCAATTATAAACGTTATTTGTTATACCGTAAAATGAAAGAAACCATAAAAATGTATTTGTAATTAACTGCAAGGTTTTATAATCATATTTTCAAACACCTAACACTATAATTATAGATATTATTAAATACAAATATCGCAGAATCCGTTCAATAAAAAATTTAACATGACTTACAAGAAGCAAAATGTTATATTGAAAGAAGACATACCTTGACGCACTTTTACTGAAAGGAAACTGAAAATACTAAAAATAATAAAATGACAAAATACTCGATTCTCATACATATTTAAGTCAAAAATAAATCTGTAATTATTACAACAGTTCTGAAAATAGAAACACGTTTTAATCGTCAGTTTCAGAATGTTCTATTGTCAGCTACACCGATTTTGCTTGCATTTCACGTACCTTTCAAGTGGTGTTTTTGGTGAAGTTAACTTTTTCTGTCTAATTTTTGCGAATATTTTGAATGAAATTTAAAAAATACTAACTTATATCTTTTATTATTGTTTTTAATAGTATTTCACTTGTTAATCTGAACACTTTTCGGTAACCTAAAAGGTTCTAGATTAAAGACTGTTCACTATTGATTTACTACCCTATGGTATAAAAGTTTTCGATATTAATTAAACTTTTGTAATTACTATGTTGTACATATTAGTAAAATTCACGCAGATAGGTACGGAATCATAGATTCGCGCGTTAAAGTTGGTACGTATAGGGTATTATTAAGTAATATTTTATATTAATATCAATTATACAATTCCTTTTTATATGAAATACATTTTAATATAGTTAGTTTTCGTTAACGTTAGTCATGAAAAATAAATTCGTAAAGAAATACTCAACTGAAAAACTCACTTGTATCCGTATTCAAGATTGTCACCACAGCCGCCCCAGACCCAGTCCTTCCGCAGGTCTTTAGGTCGGCCCATCCTTGAACACCCACAGCTCTGCAGTTGTCCATCGCGGCAAGCTCTGGACACAGCGTGACTGACTCCTGCCGCAGCAAGTGCGTGTACGAAGGCCGTCTCCCGACTCGCTGTTAAAAGAAAATTAAGATGTTTATTATGCTAATTATCAAAATTAAGAAGTTAATAAGCGTAAAGAATTTAACTAGTAGACCGATACCCGCCAGTGTAGGATGGTATGAAATATGGCATTTTTTAACATGAATATGCTTCAAATAACAAAAATATTTTCTTAAAAGTAATATCTAATAAGTAATATGATGCGGTAATTTTTGAATAATAAATACACACAATTCAAAGTTAGTTTAATGAAAATGTTAATTGTGAAGCTGAATAATTAATTATTATATTAGATCAATTTGGGTTTAGAAGAAATAGAGGAACGCGGGAGGTCATTCTAGCTTTACGGGTAACGGTAGAGAAAACGATAGATTAAGAAAAAGCTTTTGACAATGTTAAATGGGACAAAATGTTAAATATACTTAAAAATGTAGGGATGAGGCACAGAGATAGAAGAGTGATAGTTAGGTTGTATAAAGAGCAACAGGCAGTTACAGAGCTGGAGCAGCAATGTAGAGAAGTAAATGTTAGGAAGGGAGCCAAACAAGGATACACACCGCCACAGCTATTTTTTTATGTGTATATCGAAGACGCGATCAACATCATTAAAGATAGTGCAACTGTAGGGATAGATATAGAGGGGCAAAAGATTAGTACGCTTAGATTTGCAGATGATACAGCAGTATTAGCATCTAGCAAGGAAGAGTTAGAAATAGATTTAAATAAAATGGAAGTGATATTGACAAAACAGTATTGTATGTAAGTAAATAAAAGTAAAACAAAAATACTGGTATGCATGAGGACAAAAAGTAGGGAAAGAGCGAATATAAAGATAGGAGACGAAAGATTAGAAAAAGAGGCTGATTTTAGGTATTTAGGAAGTCAGATAAGTCAGGACGGAAGGAGTAGTAGGGACATAAAGCAGAGGATAGCGCAGGGTCGAGTCGCCTTCAATAAAAAGAAGTCACTTTTATGCTCGCGAACGACTAATTTAGAAATTCGAAAAAGATTGTTAAATGGGTATGTTTGCCAAACATGGACGGTGGGCGCTGCGGAAAAGAAAATGTTAGAAGCGTTCGAAATGTGGTGTTACAGGCGAATGATGAGAATTCGGTGGATAGAGAAGGTTAGAAGTGAAGAAGGTCTAGTTAGAGACATATTAGAGACAGAAACAGTAGTTAAGAGGAGTATAGGTAGACCTAGATTAGATTACTTTTTGCAAACAGTCAAGGGCGTGGGATGTTTTAGTTTTACGGAAAGGCGAAGATTAGCTCTCAAGATACGAAGGAATGGAGGTGTGTGTCCAACCAGTCTTAGGACTGACAACCTTGTGATGATGATTAGATTAGATATATTACTGTTTCGTCTATTTTTTTTTGGTCGACTGTGCAATTTTATCTGTTTTTGAACCTGTTTTATCGACTAATGCCTCTATCATTTTATAACAACTTCTCATTTTTCCTGTTTCATTGACTCGGTCAATTAGAGGGTGCCACCCCACCACATATAGCTTGAATAAGTATGTATATAATTACCTTAGTATATTAGGCTAGATTATCTTAAGTTCTTATTGGTAAAACAAGAACTGTCTTACCATTCTAAATACGTCGTTATTCACGTTATATATAAGTAAACTCTGTTTTAAATTAATGAAAAATATCAAAAAAAGGCCGAGTCTCAATAATTGCTGCTACAGGTATCTCAATTTTTAAAATTTTCATGAAGAGTTTTATATTTTCCCATTGTCATTCAAGCGAAAATTAATCGATAATTAAATTAAATGTGAAAGAAAATAAAACTGTTATTGGGGTTATTAACTTCCACAAACTTCATACCATCCTATTTATTACAGCTACTTGTTCTAAGAAGATAAAAATATCAATAGAGGTACCTACTTACCAATTTGTGTTACTGGTCCAAAGACAGTAACGTCGTCTAAAACTGAGCAATTCCATCGTCTGTCTTGCAGTTGATGTCTGCATTCTAAAAGAGTTTGATGTGCTCCTGAACTAACAGCGGTCATGTGATCCTTATACAATTCGCAAATACGACTTTGTCCTAAACTAAGGCCTGGCAATTTAGAGCATTCGATGATTTCGCCGTTTTTGAACATTTCTCCAATTGTAAGTCCCAACCGCCTGTAACAAAATAAATTTTCGGTTCACTAAAAATTACTGTATTTTAATGATATGGCAAACACGTTCTACAAAAAATTGGGTATCTTTAACCTCTATCATTCTAAAATTTTTAGTAAATTATATGGCTCAATTAGCGGTTACTCGTCGCGATTTCACCTACCTCTAAAACCCAAGAAGAGCGATTCTGATGAAAAATCGCAGAAAATACATATGTATAGAAATACGCAAGACCAAAAGAAAAATTATTACTTCCGGCGGATTTAGGAGTTAAACTGTTAGAAGCAACTTTAATGTATTCTTTTCTTGGAAAAAAATATTTTTAGTATTTAAAGTTTTCAGTTTGCTTTACTAGATTTTAACACTAGATAAAAAAAAATAGAGAAACTTTACAACTGTCACTAGTCTCCAAACTTGAAATTTGTTTTATTTCGGGAAATGAACTATTAGATAATAATTCGTTCTCATTATTAAAACATTGTACGTTCTACGTATAAAAATTATTGTGATTATT